AACAGATTATAGGTTTTGCTGATTTTATAAACACCCAAGCCCAATATTACACAACAAACAACATAATCATCACAATGGGTGATGATTTTAATTACCAAGATGCCCTTTCTTATTTTTCAAATATGGATAAATTAGTGCAGTAAGTTATTATGTTATAAATAAATAAGAAGATCCTTTGATTTCGACGTATACCGAATATCAAACGGAGACACGCCCCCTGGACTCGTTGGACTCGTGCCGCAGCATCTGCACGCAGATGAGGTCCATAAACAGCGTTGCAGTGATTAAACCGAGAAAGTATCAACGTGTCAGTGAGCAAGGCTCTACTTTGCGTGCTTAAAATGTGACGGTTGGCGTATAAAGACTTTAGCGTGGCATACGAACATCTAATTAAGTGATTGATATGTGTATTAAAACGCATATCCGAATCCAGCCATACCCCCAAGAGTTTTACAGTATCAACTACGCGCAATTCATCGCCGCCCACACGAATGCTCAATGATGCTCTGGCAGGACCAAGGTCTTTACTTCTACCGAATATAATAGCTGATGATTTCGTACCATTAATCAATAGACCGTGCCCTTCCGATATATTCACCACCCGTTCGATATCTTGATTTAAACGACTATTTGCACTTTCAATCTCTGACAACGGAAAACTCAAATATAGTTGTGTATCATCCGCATCAGTTTGTAATTTACAGTAACGGACGTGTAACGAGAAGGCACTAGTAATATATCACTCTCAAGCGTTAACCTAGCCGAGGTTATATTTTCAGGAGGAAACGATAAATAAATTTGCGAGTCATCTGCGTAGAAGTGCACCTCGGAGTTTGATAATGTTCTAAGAAAATCACAGGTATATATACAATATAAAAGAGGCCCCAGTATTGAACCTTGTGGAACTCCGGCTTGAAGTTGTTTTGGTGTGGACAATACATTGTTCAATTTGACACCTATCATTCAAGTAGCTCGATATCAACGCTTGAGAGTGAGAACTGAAACCTATATAGTGTAATAACGATACTAAAATTTTATGATTTACTCTGTCAAATGCCTTGGAATAATCCAAAGTTACTAATGCAGTCCGATAGTTTTTATCACATGCTCTTAAACAATCATCCACAATATGCATCAGCGTCGTCTCGCAACTGTAATGCTTTCGGAAGCCAGATTGTGTATGTGGCAGGATACCATACTTGTTCAAGATTAAACTTATTTGGAAATGCATAATAAGAATTCTTTGCAACGTATTGTTATTTTTGTAGGATAATTTAATACCGTGATTCTTTCAAACATGTTTAATGATGCTTTTCCAGGATCTATAAATTTCATCTTTGGAATTAATTGGTTGAAGAGCTGTGGAATTTTTAATATCTTGTCTATTTATGAATTTATTTATATAGTATCAAAATGTCCGGGTGTGAAGCCGTTTTTTGTGCCAATTAATTTTATTATGTTTAATTCTTTATTTTTGTTTTCTGCTGACAGGAATATTAAACCACCTGTATAAATAGGCTCTAATAGCTGCAGTCTTATGAGTTAGGCAATGGAAAGAATTAGCTAGGATGATGCTATCAGTTTGTGTTGATTTTCTGTAGATTTCGAAGTCTATTGAATTATTGTTATTTATCAATGTTAAGTCTAAGAAATTAAGTTTGTTATTTTGTTGTATTTCTATTGTAAAGTTAATGTTGCTGTGTAAGTTATTAATGTATGAGTGGAAATCCTTAACCAAATTTAAACCATCATCATTCCATATTATTAAAGTGTCATCCACATATTTACGCCAAAGAATGATGTTATCATTAGTGTTATTTTTGATGCCAAGTAAATTATGTTCAAGGTGGTTAAAAAATATGTCTGCTAAAAGGCTACTTACAGGAGAAACCATTGGTAGTCCTTCATTATATTTGTAGAATTTATTGTTGAACTTACAAAAATTTTGTTTTGTGCAGATTTTTAAAAGGTTCTGGACATGTAAAGCATTTTCAACACCTATACTATCAATCAATAAATCTTTGGTTATTGATTGACGCACCAGCGTTTTTAAAATTATTTTACAGCCATACATTTCCAAATTTAAAGGTGTTAGCTGTTTGTACGATAACAGTATAAGGTTGTTAGGCTATACATATCAAAATATTTCATAATTCTTGCTATTTAAACTATATTTACATCAATTCTTTTCTATTGAACATTTCTGTTCAAAATATACAATGAAAATAAAACTATTTTTAGTGCATAAAATTCTTCAAAATTTTTTCATTTGCAAGTTTTTAGCGCATACTTTCCTCATATATATCTTGAAACGCGAAATAAAAATATGGATTCTGAAAATACGACTTGAAACATTAATGGTGCAAAAACGCACCATTGGGACGATGTATGAAGAGATATAAGGATTGCATCATCTTTCGTATTATTTGAAACCAGTTTAGACGCGTCTGTTAGGTGAATTTGAAACCACTCGTAACACCGTGAATACAGATTTGGTACAAGGTGCAACCAGCATTGGGAGTGGATTTTCTAATATGGAAGAAGTCTTCTCTGTACTGAATATTCCCTTCATGTCATCAAAGTTATATCTAAAATGTCAGAACCAGATTGCCGAAACGTGGGAAAGTGTGGCCTTTAAAGTTATGAAGGAGGCTGCTATGGAAGAAGCTGAATATGCTAGACAAAACGGCATGATCGACTCTGACGGTACACCTTTAGTCACGGTTGTAGCTGATGGCTGTTGGAGCAAAAGGTCGTACAGACAAAATTATAACGCTCTTTCCGGCGCTGCTGCCATCGTTGGGCAGAAATACGGTAAAGTTCTTTACTTAGCCATCAGAAATAAGTTTTGTTGTATATGTGCAAGAGACAAAAATAAAGAGCACATTTGTTACAAAAACTATAGTGGAAGTTCTACGGGAATGGAAGCTGATGGTTTGGTAGAGGGCTTCCGTAAGAGCGAAGAATTGTATGGGATGCGATTTGCAACCCTTATTGCTGATGGAGATAGCAGTACATACAAACGTATATTGAATGCTAGATCTTATAAAAACCTGACGGTACAAAAGATAGAATGTTCCAATCATCTTCTGCGAAATTTTTGTAATAAACTAACTGCATTATCGAAAGATACAAGATTTCCTATAAAGTATAGAAAATTTGTTACAAAAAACATTTTACGATTCCGAAAAGCGATTAACGGTGCAGTCGAGTTCAGAAAGCAAGAAAGAAATGAAAGTGCGGTGTATTTATTAAAGAAAGATATCGATAATTCGCTAAATCATATATTTGGTAATCATGCGATGTGTGATACGTATTTCTGTAAACCAAAAAATGAATATGACTACATTTCAGAAATCAAAACGCAGTGTCCTGAATTATATTGTCGCCTGAATGAAATTATATCCTCAATTTCAAACCATAGCAGGAGCTTACTAGAAAAAGTCAACAGCAACATAGTTGAGCAATTTCATGCAATAATTGCAAAATTCGTTGGAGGCAAACGAATAAACTTTTCACAAAAACGGTCGTATCAAACTCGTTGTCAAGGCGCAGTGATATCATTTAATTCAAACCGAAGTCATTCGCTTGGTAGTAAAACACATCCATTTGCGCATAAAAACTTAAATGTAGAAAACCTGGAAAAAAGAAGAAGAAGATCAAGAGAAAACGCAAAGAAACTAAAACTTATGGGTAAAAAAAAGACAAAGTTGCAGAAATCGCAAATTGATGATGAAGATTACGGAGATAACAGCTTGAAACCTGACCTAGATACCGACATTTTAGAGCAAGAAATAAACAAGTTCCTAAAAAATATGGAAAGAACTTCAACTCAACGGGAATACTTGGAAAGGAATTCTACTTTACAAGCAGAAAGTGGTTACTGGCTCGAAGAAAGAAGGAAATTATTAACTGCCTCAAATTTTTACCCTGTATGTATTAGAAAAGATACGACATTATGCGCTAATTTGGTAAAACGTATTTTATATTATTGTGGTACGGCAATTAAATCCAAAGCAGTGCAACATGGAAGAAATAATGAGGGTATAGCATTGAGGCAACTAGAAGTACAAGAAAATGTCAAAATTAAGAAATGTGGTTTGTTTGTAGATTCACAGTACTGCTTTTTAGGAGCCACACCTGACGGTTTAGTCGGAGATGATCTAGTTGTGGAAGTGAAGTGTCCTTTCTCTGCATACAAAACGTGCCCCGAAGAAGCAATCAAACAGAAAAAAATTAACTTTTAGACTTTCAATGCAACATCGAATACCTTTGATATCAACAAAAAGGATAAATGGTTTTACCAAATTCAAGGTCAATTACAAATTACAGGGAGAAAAGGATGTTTATTTGCAATTTGGACAGGACACAACATTCCCATGAAAGTAGCATACATTCGTAGAGATAAACAGTTTTGGAGAACAAATATGGAAATTAAATTACTAAGATTTTATAAAGAATGTATGTTACCAGAATTAGTTGATCCACGGCATACTCGTCACCTACCAATTCGCGAACCA